GCTGGTGGGCTGGGGGGGCCTCCCTGAGCCAGGGTGGGGGCGCCAGGCTGCCCCCCCGGGGAAGGGCTCCAGACGAGGCCCTAGCTGACCAAGCTGGCCCTGCCCACTGGTCTGAGCAGGGGCCGGGCAGGGGCCCCGGCAGCTGCAGTGGGCCCCCGAACTCGTGCCCTCGCCGGGGTCCCCGTCAGTGCGGCCCAGCCCAGCCCGGGATCTCCACCGGGTGTCGGGTCCCCACAGGGTGTCGGGTCCGTGCCTGGCCACAGAGGCCGCGGCTGCCGCTCTGGCAAGGGCCGGGCAGAGGCCACACCTGCTGTGGAGGGCCCAGGGGCTGGCCAGCACACACCCACCTTTCCGGGCAGCACAGTGCCCACTGCCGGGGAGATGGTGACGGGCGCGTCTGGGGGCAGCAGGAACTCGAAGGAGGTGGGCCCCACGGGGAAGGCGTCCCCCGAGCCCACGCGGGGCAGGGAGTGCGTGAGCGAGTTCATGCTCTGGTGGGGGTTGCTGACGTAGAGCGTGGCCACCGCCGTGTCGGACAGGGCCGTGGCCGGGAACTTGATCTGGTGATGGGACAGCTCCAGGGGCGGGTGGACGCCCACTGCACGGCACAGCAGCCTGAAGCACCTGGGTGGGCGCTGTGCTCAGCCCCTGGCCCGTTCCCGGCCTGGCCACCCCAGGGCCCGCTCCCACGGCCCACGCCGGCCTGCGTGTCCCGCGCACGGACACCCCATTGCAGCCCACACCTGCTGGCACAGGAGCAGCCCAGGGTCCACGCACAGCCGCCGTGGGCCTGGACGCCAGCCTGCGTGCGAGGCTGCTGAGCTGGCCGGGTGGCCTTGGTGGCCTGGTGGGCCTGGGCGGCCAGCGGCCCCGCGCCCCGCGGCTCACCGGTTGATCTCCGACTTGCAGACCAGCTCGAAGCTGTGCTCCCTGGCCTTGGTGGGCTGGAAGATGACGTCCAGCGCCAGGGTCTCCAGGGGCAGGATCGTCCCGAAGCCGTCGCCGGGCTGAAGGTCCACAAACTGGTGGACAGGACCCACCATGCCAAAGGGGCCAGACGTGGGGGAGACACGCACGGGCGGGCAGCTGGGCCGGGGGCGGGGCGGCCCTGGACCTCCTGGCTGCCACGGGCGGGTCCGGGGAGGGAGCGGGCG